GCAGCCCAGCTCCAGGTTGAGCTGCTGTTCAGCATCTTAGTTGTGGAGGGCAGTGTCACTGGCCCTCATATGTGGGATCCGAACTGGGGCCCTCTGGCATCCCAAGCCAGTTCTCAAAAATCGCGCCACTCGGCCGGCCCCCCATCATCTTTCTTAACAAGAAGGGGAGTGGAGAGTGTTGGAGGGTTGTAAAGGTGTATGTCTTTTTAAAGGTACGATGCTCAACTTCATAACAAAATCACTAAAATTCACTTAAGTATTTGTAATGTATACCATACAGAACTCTTAAGAGAGATGTAACGTGATAACCGTAAGATGTTTGGCAATCATTCATCTAAACTGGTAACAGAGCTCACTGCTGTTTTTATCAGCGGTTAGTCTTTCATGCAGCCAGAGTTCACATGGAATAATGTTCCCAGTCACTCAGGTTCCATCAGGTTCCCAGTAGTTTTTCTGGACAGCGCTTGAAGGGAGGAGGCTGACTTGGACATAAGCTGTATGGAATCACTTCTGGATTTTAAACCAATGCCTCTGACCATGGTGTTGAGACACAGCGGTTTGTCACAATCAGGTGGGAGGGGCTGTATGAGAATTTTGAGGCTGAATCACACTAAAGCACCACAGTTAGTGACCAATTCCATTGGTATAAATAAATTACAGTACATTCAAGTTTATCCACATATTGACATTAACTTTCTTCACACTAATTCTGATATGCTTTTTAGCATGGGAACGAAAGAGGAGTCCTCTGGCCACGCAGGGGGACATCCTGTGAACAGCCACGGGAATGTGCTGTGCATGTGAGTTGAGAGCGTGTGTCGAGGGCTGGAAAATACAAGAACCACTGGCTTAACCGAGCTGCGATGGCAGCTTTTGTCTGCTGACCCATAAGGGAAGGGGTCCTATGGCAATTCTTTTTTTTTTTTTTAGCTGAGCCATCCTGCTACCTGTTGGCAGCTCAGNTGCGGCCCGAGGCCATGGGAGGAAGCCCAGTTTGGCAACAGGATGTAGGTTTGATTAGACTA